ACTGCACAAACACACACACTGCATCACTTATATACAAACACTATAACCACTAGACTCACTGCATCCATTACACAATCAATCTTCACTCACTATACAAACACACACACACTTCATCTATTACAACTACTACACACACTGCGTCCATTACACAAACATACAATCTGCGTTCACTATACACTCACACTACATCCACTTTAGACACACCACCCCCACGCACACTGTATCGACTACACACACAATGCATTCAGTACACACGCTGTATCCACTCCACACACACTGTATTCTTGTGGGTCGACGCAGGGGCTCAGACCTTAAGCTGCGGGACAGGCCCATACATTTCTGATGGCAGCCCTGAAGTCCATCACCCCACTACAGGACAAAAAGGGTTAAAAACCCTTGATTTAACAAAAACCTTGATCCTGCTGCTAACCTCTCCTCCCCAGGCAATGTCCCGGAGAAGAGAGAGCCTTCTCTGCGATAAGCCAATCACAGAGGATCACTGGGGACCTAATGCACATGTGCGGTGAGTGCCACACACTAATTCAAACTTTCCCACAGGAATGCATTGAATCAATGCTTTCCTGTGTGGTTTCAGCATCATGTGACCAAATTTCACTCAGTGGAAGCCCCTCTAGCGGCTGTCATACTGCTTGCTATGGAGGAAGACCAGGCCCTACAGTGTAAATATTGCAGTTTCACATACACATCTATGTTTTATTTTGCCCAGTCCACGTCATTGAGATAAAGTTGACAGCGTGACTATAGTGTTCCTTTAATCTCTTCCAAGAGATTTGCAACAAGTGATATTTGTTCCCCCAACTAGAGATTCCAAACACTCCCAGAAAACTCTGCGGCCTTTACCTATCTCCTGCTCCTTCCTCTGGATATCCTAATTATTGCTCTGGTAGAACTTTATGCACCTCTGCACTGTTAGTTTAACTAAAGCAGATATAGTCTTCCCCCCTCCAGTCTCATTCATTAAACTAGTATGGGTAAGATAAAGACCTGGGCTGGAGACATAGATCAATTGGTGGATTTCTGCTGTAGCCTGCCAGAACACAGGCCTATTTATTGGGCTAATACTCTAAGGCAGTGGTTCCCAAACCAGTCCTCTTGGCCCACCAATAATGCAGGATTTATGTATTTCCCTTTTTCTATTCCAATGGAGATACTGGCAAAACCTGGACTGTTGGTGGGCCATGGGGACTGGTGTGGGAACCACTGCTCAAAGGCAGAGTATTCTCAGGCTTTGATCTGTTTGCTGCATAGGTCTTGCATCTACTACTATGGCAACACCTTAAACTCTTTGTCCTGTTCCTCAAACTATTCCTTTGCAGTGAAGCAGGATTCATCAAGAGACCACTGCCCTCAGGGAACACACTTTCCATGAAGGGGTGTACGCAGTGGCAGCTGCGACTCATGCCCGTCATATCAGAGGGCCCGGCCGCCCTGCAGACCCCTGCGACCAGGTGCCCGCCATGATGTGTTGCGGCCCAGGCCCGCGCCGTTTAACCGCCGGGGCCGCATTGAAGGGGCCCATCGGGTGGCCCATGCTGTTAGGGCCATGCGAGAGAAATTAATTTCCAGGGGGTCCGGTCAGTGCTCTGCTTTACCAGAGCGACTGGGCCTCCTCGATGATGTCAGATGCTGGGAGGAAGTGACTGCCCCGGTCACTTCCTCCCAGCAACCACCAGGAGCCACATGGGAGGAAGGAGGAGGGAGTCAGCGTGGAAACCACTGGACCCCAGGGAAGTCACCTTCCTGCACCTAATAGGAGGATGACTTAAACATTTTGCCTGTGTGTGTGTTAGTGTATGTCTGTGTATGTGTGTCTGTGTGCAGCCCCATCCCCCCCCCTCTGTGCAACTCCCTTACCCCTGTGTGTAGCCATTTCCCCCCTGTGTGCAGCACTGCAACCCCTTCCCCACCCTGTGTGCAGCCATGGATTAGTTTTCGCACCAGGGCCCCATGGATCGTATATACGCCACTGGGTGTACATGGGAGTGAGTGACAGACACATACAGATACAGATGCACAGATACACAGATACACAGATACACACACACTGACACACATGCAAATACACAAACACACATACAGATACACAGAATGACACTCATATAGATACAGTGACACACATACAGATTGTCATAAACTTACCTTTGCCCAGCGCCCGCGTGGAGATGGCGTGGACCAATGGGAACTCTTTTGAGCCTTTTTGAGGCTTGCTTTAGCCTCTATTCATTGCCCTATTGTAGTTTCTTCTAAGATCCTCATTTAGTGCTCTTAGAGATTCCCTTGTGATTTCCTGTGTTTGACCTCTGCTTCGTATTTGACTTGTGATTTCTGGTATCCTGACTTCGGCTTCGTATTTGCCTTGTGAATTCTGGTATCCTGACCTGGCTTTGTCTTGACTTTGTGTATTTCTGGTATCCATGACCTTGATTTGTTCTTGACCTTGATTATAATTGAATACGTTAAGTCCAGCCATTCTAAGGCTCGGTAATATGTCTTTCGAATCCACCTTTTGTGGGTTTCTTATTTTCTGCGTTTTGGTGTACGTCTCCCGTGACACAGATACATTGGGGCACAAACTGACGCACATGCAGACAAACACATACACATAGAGACCTGTGAAAGACCTTCAGGCTTTTTGTAGTAAACACTCTTTTCAGAGAAAATGCAGTGTTTACATTACAGCCTAGTGATACCTCCACTGGCCACTCCTCATATGGCTCCTAGAGGTGCTTCCTGGGCCATTGCTGCACAGTGTGACTGACATTTAGTGTCTCCACCCTCTGCATGGATACACTGAACTTTTCTCATAGAGATGCATTTAATTAATGTTCCTAAGGAGTGGAGAGAGAATATATTTCTCACGACACGAAAATTAACAGATAAAGGAGGCCCTGATGGTGCATGCTATTTAACAGGATGCATGATGTCCATTAGCATCTCTTATAAACACAGTTCCCAAAAACATTTAACGACATAACACGATGACAGTGGCTATAAATATGAGTATTGACTTGTGTGTATCATTGTGTGTGTGGCAGTGTGTGTGTGTGTGGCAGTATGTGTATCTGTACTTGTTTGTGTATGTATGTCAGCATGCTTGTTTATCTATGTCAGTATGTGTGTATGTCCATACATACCAGCATTCAAACACAATACACAAATACACCCCTGCATTCAAACACCAACACTACAAACAAATGCACACCTACATTCAAATGCACATGTGCATTTGTGTATAGTGTTGACATTTTAATGTAGGTGTGTATTTGTTTGTAGTGTTGGTATTTGAATGTAGGTGTGTATTTGTTTGTAGTGTTGGTATTTGAATGTAGGTGTGTATTTGTTTGTAGTGTTGGTATTTGAATGTAGGTGTGTATTTGTAGTGTTGGTATTTGAATGTAGGTGTACATTTGTTTGTAGTGTTGGTGTTTGAATGTAGGTGTGCATTTGTGTGTATGTTGGCATTTGAAATCCAACACTATATACAACCCCACCACTGCATTCTCATATAGAAGCATTGGGGACATAGGGCACGTTTGACAATTAGCCACAATTCCACCATCTCTATGAAAAGAATTAGATGTGTTTGGTATGATCATTTCATGCAGTTCTCCCAGAGTTCTCAATATGTAAATGAGCAAAGACCGATGCATTTCAGACTTTTGGGAGCCTGCAGAAATGCAGGATGAATATCATTATTAGTAGATGCACTAATCGCTCAGTGACTCATGCAGTTTTGTATGCTGTACTTGTCTTGTACATCTACAAACGAATATTTTACATATAGATCCTTGACAGATAAGGTGGTGGAACTCTAAACCGATTTGTATTTAATTCACTAGATGGCAGTGTTGATAAACAATATATGCAAGACCCTATAATAAACTATTTAAAGCTGCTGCCCATCCCTACACTGAGTTACAGTATGTTCCAGGAAAAGAGGAGTCTAATTTTTATATAAATACAACATAAATGGTTATGTTTCAAATATACAAATTTTAGAAACTAATGAGCAAATATGTAACCCAATATCTTAGCAACCTAATGGATATATGGGATACTGGCATAGGCTGAAAACACTTTCCAAGTGACGTAAGGTCGTTAGAACTGCAATGGGATAATTGTGATGCAATGCACTTTCTATTTATATTGTGTATGTGCAGTGGAGTGTCCCTTTAAAACCCCTTAAAGCAACACTCCACTTCCCAAATACATAATAAATAGAAATTACTATTAGTAGATAATATACCCCGAAAAGAAAACTTGCCTGCGTTTATTCATGAATTTTTTTTTTATTGAGGGTATATCTAAAAATACATTTCAAAACCTGCTGTTCTTTTGTCTGCAGCCCTTGCAAACCCTCCCCTTCTAACCCCGCACGGACTTTGGCTGTCCAATCACAGACATTGCAATGCAGCTCATTGAGCAACCTTTACAAGGCAGGTGCTCTGGGAAATTGCAGCCTCTTGAGTTTAGCTTCATTTAGCTAACCAAACCAGGAAATCATATTACCTGCTGTCTGCTTGAGAGCCAGAGGGGTGTTACCATTTGTTTTAAAATATAAAAATGGCAATTTCTGTAGAAAATTTGCACTTTATGCAAAATGAAAAAAACACATAAAGCTTTTAAGCAAGCTAAAGTGCTTTAGTGGTCTGAAGTGTCTTTTTTAGGACCAAGATTAATTTGTTTTTTTCACTTGAGGACCAAAGTCATTTTTGCTGTGTGTGTGTTCATCCGCAATTACTATTTTTCTCATTTACTGCACAACACATATATGTAGTTTTTTTACAAGAAAAAAAGGGGCTTTTATCTGATGTGACATATACAGTATCTCACAAAAGTGAGTACACCCCTCACATTTTTGTAAAAATTTTATTATCTTTTCATGTGACAACACTGAAGAAATGACACTCTGCTACAATGTATAACGGTGTAAATTTGCTGTCCCCTCAAAATAACTCCACACACAATGTCTAAACCGTTGGCAACAAAAGTGAGTACAGCCCTAAGTGTCAATTAGCCATTTTCCCTCCTAGGTGTGACTCGTTACTGTTACAAGGTCTTAGGTGTGAATGGGGAGCAGGTGTGTTACATTTAGTGTCATCGCTCTCACACTCTCTCATACTGGTCACTGGAAGTTCAACATGGCACCTCATGGCAAAGAACTCTCTGAGGATCTGAAAAAAATTATTGTTGCTCTACCTAAAGATGGCCTAGGCTATGAGAAGATTGCCAAGACCCTGAAACTGAGCTGCAGCACGGTGGGCAAGTCCAAACAGCGGTTTCACAGGACAGGTTCCACTCAGAACAGGCTGCGCCATGGTCAACCAAAGAAGTTGAGTGCACATGCTCAGCGTCATATCCAGAGGTTGCCTTTGGAAAACAGACATATGAGTGCTGCCAGAGTGATTTTAGAATATGGTATGCAAATTTTATAGCCATCACAGAAAACAAAATTGCCACAAGAAAGTATTTATTTATATAAAGCAGACATCACTGTTTACCTAAAGGTATATATAGCCATATAAGAAATCAGGCTATTTCAGTTTTTACAGTTAGAATTTTTATACATAAATTTGACTTGCCTATTTCTAATTTTGGGGTGTTTGACTGTAGAAATTACCCAACAACGATCTACCATTTGGGAAAGTAGACATTCCAGGGTATCTCACACGGTGTATATTGTGCCTTAACATGCTGCCAGTTTATGTTAAAGTTTGTGATATTTTTATTTTTTTTACAGTGCCATATAAGAGACCTATTTCAGTTATCAATAAAAATTTTCATGAATTCGATGTGACTGTTCTACATTTTGGGGCATTCTACCAGTTTTACCCCTTAAGGACACATGACATGTGTGACATGTCATGATTCCCTTTTATTCCAGAAGTTTGGTCCTTAAGGGGTTAAATGACCCCATAAATGTATACCATTAGTCGGCATTATGGGGTATGACATATGGTATGTTCTGAGCATTATTATACAGCCATTTCAGCACCAATTTATTTCCAAATGTATGACATTCTATTTTATTTTAGCATTTTTTTACATGCACATTGCAATTTGGATGTTTATTTTGTAAACTTGATATGTGCTACTGAAATATAAATCCCTAAATTGTGCTCAGCTATACCTCCTGAGTACAGAATGACCCCCTACATACACCCTTATCACGTTTTTGACAAGAGGGAGTTTGCGAAAGTACAGAGCTGAATTTATAACCTGTCAGTTGCAGGAATTGTTTTGTTTTTTTTAAAATGACAAATTGACAATTGGTCTATGATGCATTTTAGGGCATTATAGTTGCTCCTATATTTAAATTACTCCATAAATGCATACCATTTGCAAAAATGGACTCCATAGATACTCACGTGATATATTATGAGCTTTATTAAGATGACATTTAAAAAAAATAAAAAATTAATCTTGTGTGTCCCATTGTAATAAAATTCTTACTGTACTCGGCAAAATCTCCTAAGTACAATACCATCCATATGTATTCCCAGTCTTAATCCTAAACCAAATCCTAATCCCAAATCTAACCATTAATCTAATAATAAACCTAACCTTAATCTGAAACCATACCCTAATTTCATGCCTAACCCTATTTTTAACCTTAATTCTAACACTAACCATATAAATAGCGTTAAAAGGATTTCCTCTGCTAATATCAGCAGATAAATTCCCTTGGTAATTTCAGCAGAAGGATTCCCTTACTGACCCTAATTCTAATCTTAAACCTATCTTAAAGGGACACTATAGTCACCAGTGCAACTACATGTATTCCTGACATTATAGTTTTAACACGATCATCTAGCCCCCCTGAGCCCCTCATGCGTCCATAAATATAGTAAAAATCTTACTGTATTCAAGCCAGAAGCTGTAAATCTGCATGCTGTTAGACTCAGGAAAAACAAGCAGGCTGCTGACATGTGATAGCCTGATCCAATCACAGTGCTTCCCCATAGGATTGGCTGAGACTGACAAAGAGGCAGCTCAGGGGTAGAGCCAGCATGATTCAAACACAGCCCTGGCCAATCAGCATCTTCTCATAGAGATGAATTGTATCAATGAATCTCTATGAGGAAAGTTCAGTGTCTGCATGCAGTGGGAGGAGATACTGAAGCTTGCCAGCCTCTTGCCCCAGAATTAGACCTGGATTCAGGACTGTGGAATGGCTTTGCTTGTGCCTTTTCCCTTCTACAGTTCAGTATATGCGACTACCGAATGGCTTATGCCTATGGTGCTCGCTTACCAAACAAACAAACAGCCGAACAGTCTGACCACAGGCAAGTGGAGTGTGCAGCCCATTTACCTCCCAGGCTGTTAGTTAACCGCAGCCAAATATGTGCGGTTATTTGTATTTTATATATAGCTAGATAGATATAGAATGTCATTTTAAGTGTATTTTGTTACACATACAGTTAAAATGAAATTACATATGTATATATAATTTATTTAAATTTTTAAAAATATTTATTTTATTTATTTATTATTGTAATTATACGTGTGTGTGTGTGTATTTATATATATATATATAAAACAAGGGGGGGTTGGCTGCACTCACCTGAACATGCATAAATGGGGGTGCTGCTGGGGGCCAAATAATACAAAACACAAGATCCAGCGCACTCACCTATCCACTAAACAGCAACTTCAATGTTGAAAGATTTTATTAGTTTTTTTAAAAACACCTAATCTAGGCAAAAATAATGGGGGTTTAGTTACATTATATGATCATACATTGCATAAGCCTGCCACAACGTCAATGTACCCCATCTTTGGCAGGTCCTACACTAACAGCCTAATGTCTGCTCTTATGAGATTAACCACTTACTTGAGGAAAAAATCCATCTGGGGCTCTCTGCAGTACAAGGCTAAATAGGGCCCTGGGATGAGGCACCTGTGACAGGGAGGGGTGCAAAACCAAGGAGTTGGCTAGACTCCCAAATATATACATATGAAACAAGGGGGGGTTGGCTGCACTCACCTGAACATGCATAAATGGGGGTGCTGCTGGGGGCCAAATAATACAAAACACAAGATCCAGCGCACTCACCTATCCACTAAACAGCAACTTCAATGTTGAAAGATTTTATTAGTTTTTTTAAAAACACCTAATCTAGGCAAAAATAATGGGGGTTTAGTTACATTATATGATCATACATTGCATAAGCCTGCCACAACGTCAATGTACCCCATCTTTGGCAGGTCCTACACTAACAGCCTAATGTCTGCTCTTATGAGATTAACCACTTACTTGAGGAAAAAATCCATCTGGGGCTCTCTGCAGTACAAGGCTAATAAAATCTTTCAACATTGAAGTTGCTGTTTAGTGGATAGGTGAGTGCGCTGGATCTTGTGTGTTGTGTGTTATATATATATATATATATATAGCAAAAAACAGGATGCTTGGCACTCTCCTTGAAGTAATAAATAGGAACAAATAGCCTGGGTGCTATATCCCAAACGCCAGAAATATACAAAAATCTAAAAATGAGGATGCACTCACAGGACTTACCATATATACTCAAGTATAAGTCTAGTTTTTCAGCACATTATTTGTGCTTAAAAACCCCCACTCGACTTATACTCGAGTCAGTGTCTGTATTATGGCAACTTACCATAATACAGACCAGGACCACCGGGCTCATTACAAGCCCGGCGGTCCTGTTGGGGGCTGGCAGATAGCTGTTACTTACCTTCCTGCAGCTCCCTTCTCCTCCACTGTAAGTCTCGCGGCGTGACTGCCATGCGGAGCAACGCTCTGACCCCGCGGCTCTCGCGAGACTTACAGTGGAGCTGACCAGACCAGAGGAGAAGGGAGCTGACAGGAGCTGCAGGAAAGGTAAGTAACAGCTCTCTGCCAGCCTCCCCTCCTGCACAACCCATCCACTGGACCACCAGGGAAAGAGAGCCCCCCTCCCTGGCCAGCTAACAAGCAGGGAGGGGGGACAAAAATAAAAATTAAATAATAAAGAAAAAAATATTACAATAAAAAAATTTAAATATTAAAATTAAAAAAGTAAATAATAAAATAAAAAAATAATACTAAAATAAAAAAAATTAAATATTAAATTAAAAAAATTAAAAATAATAAAAATGCCCTCCCCCACCCAGTTCACACAAACACACACTCATACAAACACACCCACTGCATTATATACACACTCATACAAACACACACTCTGCATTATACACACACTCATACAAACACACACACTCTGCATTATATAATGCAGAGTGTGTGCTTGTATGAGTGTGTGTGTGTGTATAATGCAGAGTGTGTGTTTGTATGAGTGTGTGTATATAATGCAGTGTGTTTTTGTATGAGTGTGTGTATGAGTGTGTGTGTAATGCAGAGTGTATGAGTGTGTGTGTGTATAATGCAGAGTGTGTGTATGAGTTTGTGTGTGTATAATGCAGAGTGTGTGTATGAGTGTGTGTGTATATAATGCAGTGTGTGTGTTTGTATGAGTGTGTGTGTGTATATAATTATAAAAATCACAGAATTTCATAGCCCCAAGTTTTACCCTCGACTTATCCACGAGGCATAGCATATTTCACAATTGTTGGTCACAAACTGCACTCGACTTATACATGAGATCGACTTATACACGAGTATATACGGGATGCACTCACATGACTTAGTTATAGTGAAAAAAAGTGACTTTTAATTATTCCATGTGAAATGTACAGAAAAATCAATCGACGTTTCGACCCTGACGGGAAAAAGACCCGTCAGGGTCGAAACGTCGACTGATTTTTCTGTACATTTCACATGGAATAATTAAGTCACTTTTTTTCACTATAACTAAGTCCTGTGAGTGCATCCTCATTTTTTGATTATATATATATATATGAATTTTTTATATATATATAAAACTTCATTCCAAGTGTTTTTTAATACGAATATATATACACTTATATTAACATTAAAATACACTATGTATGATGTTACATATATATAAGATGTGTGTATATATATATATATATATATATATATATAATACATCTACCCTATATACTCGAGTATAAGCCGACCCGAATATAAGCCGAGGCCCCTAATTTTACCCAAAAAAACTGGGAAACCGTATTGACTCGAGTATAAGACTAGGGTGGGAAATGCAGCAGCTACTGGTAAATTTCTAAATAAAATTAGATTCTAAAAAAATTATATTAATTGAATATTTATTTACAGTGTGTGTATATGATGAATGCAGTGTGTGTATGAGTGCGCAGTGTGTGTGTATGAGTGCGCAGTGTGTGTGTGTGTGTGATGCAGTGTGTGTGTGTGTTTGTGTTGCAGAGCTTTGGTGGGGGGTGGGCATTTTTATAAAAAAAAATAATTTTTTTGGTTATATTATTTTTTTAATTATTTTTTTATTATTTATATTTATATATTATTAATTGATATTATTTAAAAAAATTTGTTATATTATTTTTTTATTATTTTTATTATTTATATATTTTTTTAAATTATTTTTTTATTATTATTTATGTATTATTAATTTATTTATTTTGTTGTCCCCCCTCCCTGCTTGATACATGGCAGGGAGGGGGGCTCTCCTTCCCTGGTGGTCCAGTGGCATTGGCAGTTCAGTGGGGGGAGGAGGGGGGCTGGCAGAGCTGGCATATGACCCCGCGGCTCTCGCGAGACTTACACTGGGAGCTGATCGAGGTGCTGACCGGACCTGCGCGGAGGAGGAGAGAGCTGACAGGAGCTGCAGGAGAGGTAAGTTACAGCTCTGCCAGCCCCCAGTCTGTATTATGGCAATGTAAATTGCCATAATACAGACAGTGACTCGAATATAAGCCGAGTTGGGGTTTTTCAGCACAAAAAATGTGCTGAAAAACTCGGCTTATACTCGAGTATATACGGTATATATATTTTATATATACACATTTAATTTATTTTAAAACATTTTTTTTTCTTTACTCTAACCACCAGCAGGGGGACTGTGACATTTCAGGCAGTCCCCCTGTTGGCAGACCCACAGCCAGCTGTTGGGGGCCATATTGGCTGTGGGAGGGCTGCCTGGGCTGTCAGGCAGCCATCCAGAAGAGGATCGCGGCAGAGGTAAGTAGTTGCAGGCTCCTGGGGGTGAAAGCCGTTACGGTGTTCTATGCCGCTGCAACGGCTTTAAAGCTCATTATAATGGGGACGGCATAGAACGCCGTAACGGCGTTAAGGGGTTAACCCTGCTTACACTACATTGCTGTCTATGCGGATTTAAATCCTTATTGAAAGAGCAACATCCCAATCTCATGGAGCTCTGCATGCAGCTCACCTGGCAGTCTTGGGACACTAAAAATGTCCCCAACTGACAGAGGGAGGTCAGTCACAGGTATCTATTGATACCTGGATTTCCTGGTGTAAGCAGGGATTTAAGCCTGCTCACACTGCATTGTAACAATGGTGATTTAAATCTCTGATTGGAGCTCTCACGTTGAGCTCTGCAAACAGAGCATAGGTAAGTCTGAGGCCACTAATTCTGCCCCCAGCTGATAGAGGGGACCCCCTGGCACCAAAAGATACCTGGGATTCTTGGTACCAGCAGCGATTTAACCCCTGCTGCTAGTTTTACTGCATGATGGTCCATACTTTGTCACTGGGCATTAAAGTCCTGCACTGCCTGGTGGCATAGACAGTTAAATGGTTAGTTCATGATATTTGAGTTGCTGTATTAATTCAGAAACTGCAATAGCTTACTAGTTTGCATTAAAACACCAAATCCACTATACATTATTGACCTTATCTCTGCACTCTGACAAATGTA